AACATTCCTGAACAAAACATTCAACTTTCCAGAAGATATCTTTCAGAAAAACAAACGCGCCCTAAAGGTATTCTTTCCTTCTGGATTGCTGCTTTCTCATTCTTGTTTCATGGGAAGTGGTGGACACTATAGTGGCTGAGAAAGCACGTTCCGAGCCTTTCCCAACGTGCCATGTATTTTGTCTCTATCTGGTGACAAACTGTTACAGGGCCCATGGAAAGCACTTTCCAACCAAGGTTTAAGAAAACGTTAGGTAGGCCCTAGGCGGCCGGCCTGGCGCCCAGCCCCCAGCACTTAGGAGGGTGCTCAGAACCTCGGGCGCCCTGTAGTACAATTTTTTATCATATATACACTTATTTGCTGTCTAAACGCACATATATGCATATATTTATGTCAATTTTGTAATTTATTGCATTTGAAAATATTGTAACATACGTTTTTATAACAAACATATGATATATCGGCATATCACATGTTGATTGTTGAGAATAAACTTGTTCAAAATTTCAAAATTTCAAAATTCAAACCATAATAAACTGACTCTCCAATTTTCCATTTTTCATATCCATAAAATAAACCATAATAACATTGAAGTCTCCAACTCTCGAAGTCTTCAACAAACTAACTTTCAAAAGTATAAAACCACACAACAAAATAGTCCAAAAAGGCAAAAAAAGTATGTTTAACATCCAAAATCCAAATGTCTAAAGCCTGAACCAAGATGGTGCAATAAAGATACTACAAAAGAAGAGAGACGACCTCAATAAGAATCCAAATAATCATCGTTATTGCTTGCATTTTCATCGGAATCGAGTTCGTCATCATCAAAATCATCACCCTCTTCAACATATTCCTCTTCTTCAATAGATTCTTCTGAATTTGCCTCATGTGAAGTACCAACAGAAGTTGTTGCTCGAGTGGCCCTCCGAGGGTTAGAAGCTCGTCCCAAAGCCTCCTCGACCATTTCCTAGGTCAAACTCTCTCCTGGGAAGACCTCCTTAGCACTAGGGACCCCAACTAGCCAATCTGAAGCATTCTCCATGTCTTTCGAAGCGATGGGATCATTCTTTGGCTGGTTTTTCTTCTCCTTGGGTTTCTGATGGTCTCTGACATAAACCAAGTCATTGAGCTTCTTTTGCTCAAGCGTATTTCTTCTCTTGTATGCACTTATAAGGAAAAATATATGAATACTAAACTACTATGATCTTCTTATCTTCTATGAATGTATATTAGAAAGATGAAGTAGTAAATGAGAAAAGCATAGAAAATAGAAAAATACCATCTCAAACGAACTCCAATCACGCTCACAACCAGAAGAGGTTAGTTGTCGAACTCAGGATCCAAATAGCCATCTTTTGGAGGTGTGGAGCGCTACTCCCATGTTGTTTCCACCATTGGGCTGCAATATGTGGACAACCTTTATAATTAATTAAAGTATTTAACATTATCATACATAATTTTAGGAACCTTAAACGTTGAAAGAAAGTTAGAAAACTATGAAACAAAAGTATAAAACATATTACCTGGTTCGTCTTTGTTTCGTTGTCTTAGTGTCATGTCTTTCCCAAATGACATCAAAGCACACTTGTACGAAATGAGCTCTTTTGTTGATATCTTATTTTGGATATGTGGATCGGGAACTAATCTCTCAAGGCACTCATTAAAACCATCCATAATTGTACCTTTTGCCTCGATATCTGCATCTGCATTAAAGAATGAGGTTCAAGTAGGAACCTGCTGCATGCAATGGTCTATGGAGCTGCTTAACCCACTTGACATCTATAATCTCCCAAATTGGGTCGTACTTGGTCTCATCATTGCTCAAATTCTCTGCAATCTCATTCTTAGCCCTTTCAAGTGCATCATATATAAAGCCCATGGAGGGCTTATCAGCATCAGCCAAGCGCAAGACCTTCACCAAGGGACGAAATACTACTATCGCATGTTTTACCCCACGCCAAAAATATTTAGAGAGATCAATATCTTGTGCCTTCTTTCCCTTGGCATCTCTAGGCCACTTACACCTACTCCACTTCTCTGAAGCAAACATAGACCTTTTTTCCCTTTTTCCTTCCCTTTCTCAATTACTGTCTCAGGGCTAGGTGTAAAAGAACT